TGGACACCTAAAAAGTAATTATTTCTTAGTATCAAAAGAGAAAGTGAAATTAAGATATCTGAATGCAACATTTGCCAGCTAGTGCAGTATTCATGAGCTGTTAGTACCAACTCCAGAAAGCCAATTGTTAAAAGTCAGGAACTTTTGTGAACCAGTTGACATCACCTGGGTTACTTGAAATCATCGTGGTGGGAGTATTGCGTGGTGATGATTGGTAAATGTTACTAAAGAGGGTTTTGCTATTTCAGAGACCCAGTTGTTTAACATTTACTAGCTTACCTCTACAGAAAGTTTACACCTGCGTTCAGTGTGATTTTGATATTTGATGACGGTTGATCATCATCATTTTATTGTTATTCATCATTTCATGATGTTTGATCACATGATGTTGACAGCTTGAACTGAATTTGAAATGAGTATCTCCCTTCTAGTGTCTTCTCTCCCATCTCTCTCACTTCCTTTCCTCAGTAGTGGAGGGGAGTATTTTGTAAATGCTCATAAAAATATGACAGAATTGAGAGGAGTGATAACAAAATGACTGAAGAATAGAAAATGGAACTTCTGAAGAGAGGGAAATGAGGTGTTCAGAGAAAGTATTACAGGCACACCTCATTTTATTGCTCTTCGCTTTATGTTACTTTGCAGATAATGTCTTATTTTGTTTGTGGCAATCCTACATCAAGTAAGTCAATGGGCACTATTTTCCAACAGGCTCTGCTGCTGCTTAGCATTTGTTAGCAATAAAGTATGCACATTTTTTAAACATAATGCTATTGCACATTTAATAGACTAGTATGGTTTAAACATAACTTCTATATACACTGGGAAACCAAAAAAACTGTGTCTTGCTTTATTAAGAAATTTGCTTTCTTGTGGTGGTCTGGAACTGAACCTGCACTATCACTAAGTTATACCTGTACAATGTTCTATTTTTTTATTTTTTTATTTTAGTAGTGCTGCCAAGTTCAATATTCACCTCATGTAAACAGAAGAAAACCAACTTAAATGTGAAGAGTAACAAGTTCAATTAGACGGAAGGAAAACCTTTTCCCTAGTTGGGAACAGTTAAGCCTACCAGACAATCTTTTAAGAACAGACGATTATCTTAGTTGGATAGTTAGTCAATGATTGTTCCAAAGATGATTAATTTACCCATCTCCAGATTGTTAAAGGGGAAAATGTAAAGTAGTGAATATGGGGAAGACAAAAGTGTACAAAGAAGAAAAATATTCACCCATAGTCCAATTCTCTAGAGATGGCCAGTGGTAACAGTTATTGTCCTTTCTGCTACAATTTTCCATATATACGCATAGGTACATGTTTTACAAATATGGATCATTCTTTATATGCATAGCTTAATGTCAATTCTCTTGACATTACACAATCTTCCAGAACATGAATCTCAATGGCCTCAGAATAATCAACTGATGTGTTATAGAATTTGTTTAGCCATTCTCCTTCTGGTGGATATTTAGGTTGCCATTATTTTGTATTTTATCATTAAAATTATTCTGGTATAAAAAAAAAGCTGGGACCATTTTCAAATTACTTGGTAAAATGCCCGATATATAGAGTGAAACTGCCCTTGTCTGAGATGGTACTTTCTTCTCCAGGGAATGAAAATGACTCTGAAGCCACAGCCGCCTCCTTCCTCAATACTGATCAGGGAGTGGGGAAAAATACAACTTATCATAATACAGAATGTTTTCTGACAAAGTGAAATAAAACCTTTTTATTATTTTCCCCAAGTAATTGTATTTATACATTTTAAAAATTAGAATTTATATAAAGCTAATATCTTTAGAAATAGCTTTTTGATCCTTCCTGCCTCTAAAACTTATTACCTTGTATAGTTTATAAGCAGTTTTTACATCATTATGTTGAAAACTGGGTTTTAAAATTCTGTGAGCACCAAAACAGGATATTTAGAGAAATGTATGCTTTTTTTTTTTTTTTATAACACAACCCCCTTTTTAAATGCCATGCATTCTTTGGGGAGTATATACGAAGCATTTTTAATAAGCTCTATCCTTTGGTTCCTTTTCTATTTACTAAATATATTAGTATAATGATTATATAATTTGTCTTTTGTGTTTATGTATGTAAAATCAGATAACAGCACATAACACAAAAATGGAACTGGACTAGGAGGAGGGGAATATTTTTGTCTATTCAATTCAATACATTATCTCATATTAGGTTGCCAACAAAATTAAGACACTACTACTTGTCATAAAAAATCTCTCAGCATATCATGGTATATTCTGCTGGGGTTTAAAAATCCTAGAATGTAAGAGAATTGTAACATAATTATTACATTAATATTTTAAAGAATGAACAGTTTATCTCTTCACTAGTTTTTAAATAGTCTATTTATATCACCTTGACAATTGGAGCAGTATAAACTTTGTCACTATCTGCTTAATAATTATTCCATTAAAGTTGAGTTAGACAGAAAATGTCACTTCACTGTGGAAATAGCAGGTAACTACCTTTTGAATATGTAAATTCTTACCTTTAGGCTTTTTTTTTTTCTTTTTTCTTTTTCTTTTAAAGCAAACAAGTAGGTTAGGGCTAGCCAACTGCTGCAGCAGCATACTTTATACTGTTGGAAATGCTTGTCAACAGAGCCAGGATAACAGTCCTAATTAAAAACCACCTAGTTACATCCAGAAAAGTCTTTGGGCCTGGACATTGTCCTTAGGGATAACAATGCATTCCCCAAATGGTCAGATGATGAACTAAGTGCTAAATACCATGTTGGTATTACATTTTATATTGACATTTGGACTAGTACTGGTTTTACTTGCTTGCTGGTTTATAGAAAGTCCTAAGCACTGAAAGTTAATTGAAATCACTAGTTTCACCTCATAAAATCAAAGATCATCACAAAAAACAGACGTATCCTAACCTTTATTAGACATATTTAAAACAGCAATGTAAAAATAATATTGTAATAACTACATGTGGTGTCCGATGGGTACCAGACTTATCGGGGTGATCACTTTTTAAGTTAAATTTGTACATCTGAAGCTAATGTAATATTGTATGTCAATTGTGACTGAAAAAAAATTGCAAAAGAAAATACCAATATTAGCATCCAGTCCACAGCTTTCCTGAAGCTCTCAGGAAAGAGAGCTTTGTCCTGCCATGGATGAAGTAGAGAAGGTAGGACAGGCAGGGTTATCAGAGGTAATGTAAGAATCATAAGCAGGAAAGAAGCAGCAAAGTAGTAGTTCTACTGGCTCTTTGAAACAGATTCATTTTAACTAATTACTTTTTATCAGTCTATAATTTGTTTCCTTCTGACAATAATTATAAATACAGACAAACAGATTCTTTTATATATATATTAGAGCACATGTGTCAAACACAAGACCCGCGGGCCAAATCCGTCCCGTGCTGTCATCACTGCACTCTGCTGCGTTTCCATCACAATGACAGTTTATGACTGTTCAGTAAACCATTCGGCCCCGCGATTTAGGCTGGATTTTAGATTTTGGCCCCTTCTCTGATTGAGTTCGACACCCCTATATTAGAGGCCCAGTGTACAAATTCATACATGGATAGGGTCCGGCCAGTTCTGCTCCTGAATGGGATGGGGGGGAACCTATCGGGGGCCAATGGCCTGGGGGAGGGGCCATAGGTGGTTGGCTGTCTGGCCCTGCCTCTGATCAGGGGTGAGGCTGACTGGGGGGGAGGGGCTACAGAGTTGGCCGGTTGGCCCCACCCACAGATATGGCTATAGTGGGCATCATAGCAACTGGTCATTCCAGTCATTCAAGTGTTCCAGTTGCTGGCTTTATAGATAGATATAGATATAGATATAGATATAGATATAGATATAGATATAGATATAGATATAGATATAGATAGATTATATAGATACTAGAGGCCTGGTGCACAAAATTCATGCACTCAGTGGGCAGGGGATACCTCATCCCAACCTGCACCCTCTCACAGTCCGGGAGCCCTGGGGGATATCTGACTGATGGCTTAGACCTGCTCATCAGTTAGGCATCCTTAGAGTTGCCACAGAGGCAGGAGAGTCTCCTGCCACCACCACTGTGCTCACCAGCCATTGTGGGAGTACACCTGTATTCAGCACCTGCCCCCTGGTGTCATAGCAACCAGTCGTTCCACCATTCGGTCGATTTGCATATTAGCCTTTTATTGTATAAGATGATAGATAGATAGATAGATAGATAGATAGATAGATTTCAGAGAGAAAGGGAGAGGGAATGAGAGAGAATCATTTATTAGCTGCCTTCTGCATGTCCCTTACAGAGAAATCGAGCCTGTAACTTGGGCATGTGCCCTTGAGTGGAATTGAACCTGGGAGCCTTTATCTGAATGCCAACACTCTATCCACTGAGCCAAACCAGATAGGGCTAACCAATTCTTTAGAGTGACTCTCATCTCAGTACAACTTTAAATACTGTGAGAAATTGGTTGCAAAGATGGCACAACCCTATCTCCCAGCTAACAGATCTTCTGCAATGTGATTTTATTACTCCTCTATTCTGAGGTAGAATCTGGCCTTATGATTTGTTTTAACCAAAAAAATGTAGTAGAAGTGATGATGTGTGGCTTCTGAAGCTAAACTTCTGACACATTATGGTGTACACTTTCACACTTTGGGGAAATTTCCCATGCTATGAGGAAGCCTAAGCTAACCTTATGGAAATGCTATCTATGGGAAAGGCTCGGTCCCCTGTCTGAGAAGGCCACTCAATCCCATTTCCCAGACAATTAACCAAATGGAAGCAGCCACCAGCGACTCCAAGTAAGACTGGCAGGAGAAGCATCTCATCAACCCACAGGATCAAAAGAAATAAATAATCATTTTAAGCCACAAAATATTTGAATGGTTACACAATCATAGATAATTGCAAGATGTACCCTATCATAACACCTCATAGATCAGTTAGAAAAAAAGAATTTATAAAGCTAACAACTTTATTGATTTGTTGGTTATCTTTTCTAGATTAATGACTTACGTGTGGTGCAGTCTTTTCCTGTGTAACCAGGAGGACAGTCACAGGTTCCAGTTTTTTTGTTGCATTGACCTCCATTCTCACAGGGTCCACAGGAGACCTGGCACTCTGGTCCCCAGGGGCCATCAGGGCAAGCTTGTAAAGTAAAAAAGACAGAAAGAAAGGAGCTAAGCCTTGTAATAAATCAAGATGGTCCCAGGTAAGCGAGTTGGAAAAGTGTTGCGTGTGTGCGTGCGTGTGTATGTGTGTGAGTGAGTGCATGTGTGTATCCCTGGGCTGCAAACAAAGAAACATTTGAGTAACCTCCAAGGATTTATAGCACTTCTAAAAATATTCCCCGAAGAAAACCAACATGATGCTGTAGCTTGTCACGTTGGAAACACAGATACAGAGGTTGTGTTTTTGCTGAAAATGAGGCTTTTCAGACAGTAACAATGGAAGCAATTTTGATACATGTCTTTGGAGGCAGTTGCACAGAACAAAACCTGAAAATGAGATGTAATTTGTAAAGGAAGTTTCGGAGGAGCAATGCTTAGGAAACTGTCCCCAAATGGTCGCCTGAATCCTTCCTCCTAGTGTTTGCTTCTATTGTAAGCCAAAAGAATCAATCCGGAGGCTTCTAATTTGTGTACTTTATAGGAGCAAACAATGTACAAAGAGAAAGTGCAGCTTTGTTGAATGCCTTTGAGCTGGAATAGACTGCTGATGCTACTGGGACCTCTGAGGGCTAGGATAGAGGCTTCAGCATGCACCCTACCACCAAAGCCACTGGAATTAGAAACCTGGTAGAAAGCATTACTTTAATATGGAGATAATGGTGAAACTTTTCCAAACACCACAATTGTGGGAAGTTACACCAGACCAAGCTGGCCTGTGAAGTATCTTCTTTCCTGGGCAGTGTTTCACTGAATAACAGAATTATTACATTTCCTGGGCTGTGTATACCATTTCTGCCTATTATCTCTTGATCACTCACTCTGTGTTGTGCACTTTACATATAGTAGCTCTCATTTGCATAAAAATTACTGTATGACATAAGCAACGCTAGCTTCATTTTAAATAGGAAACTGAGGCTGGGAGAGGTTAAGTGACTTACTCTGGGCCAAACCAGCTCAGAAGGAGCAAAGTCAGAATCGAACCCAGATCTTCTGGCTCTCAGCAAACTTAGGCTGCAATACTAGTTACTCAGCACCTGTCAAATCAATTAACCGAGAGATACCAGAGTTCAAATTTGAAGTTCATTCAATGTGGAACAACTGTAACATAATTCCGTCCTTATTATAATGATATAAGGATGGAATGAGCCTCCTTAGATGGACTCCAGGGCTGGCTGGGCCAGAGCCCTCCACATTCAGAAGTCTGCCGGGGTCTCTTTGATTAGTATGTAGCTGGGGTCCAAAATGCCCGGGGCTACATACTAATCAAAACAAAAACATTGGCTGGATTTTATTTCCCCTCTCTCATTTTTGCTCTTTCACAGATTCCTGTAGATACTGGCTCCTCTGCTCTTAAAAGTCATGACTGATGGGCTGAATAAGTCCTGGTGCTGATTGTAGAGAGCGCTGCTCATTAATGCCATTGAAACAATTTGCAGCCTTTAATTAACTATTCATCTGCAATCGAGACACAGGAATGGAGTCAAGATTTTTTTAAAGACATGTCTGGTTCTAGGAGCACTTGAAAAAGAGAAACAGGCCTGATTTTCATCATGCCCATGACTTGGAGAGCTCTTTTTGCCTTGATTTCAGCTGCCAATCATGGCGATCCCATTCACCCACTCCGGTCTGATTCATAATTTCATTTTGTGGTTAGACACAAATATCAGAATTGGACAAAGTTATCTGATTGAAAAATAATATGTTTTTGAGAGATTATGGTGACCTCTCTATTTTGCTGATTTACATATACTTTCAACTCATTTTCCTTCACAGTGGGAATCTCAGAAGCAGGTCCCAATATAGTATACTCAACAGCTGCTTTAAGAGAATGCTGTCAGAATTAATTAAATTTACCCAGGTGTATGTGTATGGTATTGTCTCCTCATGCATTGCCTTCCAGGCCATGGCTTCTCTGGTGGGGAAGGGAATAAGGGGCCGACTCTACCCTTAAAAGTCAGTTGAAGCAAAAGGAGGTTGAGAGGTTGGCATGGGACCCACACTTACACCATGGAAAACACATTTATGTATTATCAGGCTTCTGGCTCAAGTACTTTTCCCCATTGTTTAAAAAAGTCACGGTCCAGCTCCCTAAATAGCCCACGCTCCATGAAATCTAAATGGACATTGCTGCTTACACACTCCCGTTCCATAGCCACAGGGTGACCTGGGAGACCTAGAGCACCTTCTCCCAACAGGCCCTGCAGCTCTCAGGAGAGGATCATGCAAAGAGCACTTGTGTTACACAAAGGCCAAAGGCAACTCCACAACCAGGACTGCCTCTGAATGGACCGTAAGGTGTGATGGAGGCAGAAATACAATATTGGGGATCAGCTATAATTGTAAGAAATATTAATCATGCTCTGTTAACTGTGATTGTGTTGTTCTGATTAAAGAAGGCACATTCTAACCTGGCTGGGAGTTGTGTGCAGGACCTGGGAGCTCACTTGGAAATGCAGCCCATCCTCCCTCTCTGGGAGTTGTCTATTATTATGGAAAGATTAACTCTTGTTGTAGAAACCAGAGCAGGCAGCCCTTTGCATATATATTATCAGCTGGCCTTTACAAATATCCAGCTCACATTACCTGTAAACTACCCATTTGCCATGCCCTTTTGCCTACTTCCCCATATAATCATCACCTTTCTACCCAAAAAGGTGGGGGACAGAGAAGATTTTTGTGGATGACCTGCTACTCTCCCATACTGTCAGCATTATTGATTGAACCCTGTCTCTTTGCTGAATTGGCTCAAGTAGTGACAGGCAGCTCAGACCCATTGATTGACGGGTTATAAAACCACCAAATGTCCTCCTGATTTAAAAACAAAAAACAAAACATTGCTCTTTACCCAACCAGCGTGGCTCAGTAGCTGAGCATCAACTTATGAGCCAGGAGGTCACTGCAGCATTCCCATTCTAGGGCATATGACTGGGTTGTGGGGCCCGATCCCCAGTAGGGGGCATGCAGGAGGCAGTTGATGGATGATTTACTCTCATTATTGATATTTCTATCTCTCTCTTCCCTCTTCTCTGAAATCAATAAAAACATATTAAGGGGGGAAGAAAAAAAGATTGTTCTTTGGATCATGTCAAAGGCAAAAAGTTCACCTTGCTGTTAATTATGATCATTTCATTTGTTATATGTTCCATCTCGCTGTGATAATTTCTCCTGCATAAAGCAGTACGAAGTGCTTAATGCAAAATATATGATACCATGAGAAAAATCTATAAAAAAACAAAATTAAAGATTCATTTTTATGTATTTAGTTCAGAGCACACATCCAAGTCCTAGAAGTCAGGATTGTTCTAGGAGTTTGGGGACACTTTTTAAAAAATATATATTTTAATGATTTTTTACAGAGAGGATGGGAGAAGGATAGAGAGTCAGAAACATTCGTCAGCTGCTTCCTGCACACTCCTGCACACACATTACTGTATGAAATAAACAACGTTAGCTTCATTTTAAATAGGAAACTGAGGCTGGGAGACGTTAAGTGACTTACTCTGGGCCAAACCAGCTGGGTATGTGCCTGCAACCAAGGTATATGCCCTTGACAGGAATCAAACCTGGGACCCTTGAGTCCACAGGCTGATGCACTATCCACTGAGCCAAACTGGTTAGGTTACAAAAGTAACAGCTACCCATCTCCTGTAGGGATTAGCTTCTAGCAGGTAAGACAGGCAATACATATTAGACATAATAATAATTGTAGGATATGTCATGGTTAAAGATGAAGAGCACTTGGGAAAATAATAAGAATTCAAAGAGACATACAAGTTGCAATTTTAAGGAGGGTGGTACTGATGAGGTTCAGTGAAAAGGTGGCCTAAGACTTGGTGATAAAGTGGAAGAACCTGCAGATACCCAGAGAGAAGATGTCCATGAGAACACAGTGCAGACAGCCACTTCTAAAACATGGAATAACCTTTTCCAAATTTTCTATGCACCGAGACACTTATATCAACATATGTTACTTATAATTGGAATTAGGATGTACATAAACTTTTATATTTCTAGATTTATATACATATAAAAAAACAAAAACCTATGTAATGCCCTGGTTGGTTTGGCTCGGTGGATAGAGCATCAGCCTGCAGACTGAAGAATCCCAGGTTCAATTCCAGTCAAGACCATGTACCTTGTTTGTGGGCACATCCCCAGTGAGGAGTGTGCAGGAGGCAGCTGGTTGATGTTTCTCTCTCATCGATGTTTCTAACTACTCCTCTCCCTTCCTCTCTGTAAAAAAAAAAAAAAAATCAATACATATATTTTAAAAACAACAACAATTATGTAATTCTTAGAAATATGCAAAAGGCCCACACTGATAACTAGATTTAAATTTTCCAAATGTTTCTATGGTTAAAATTTTTGAGTTGTGTTTGTTTGAATGATCTGTCTTTAGGTATAAAGAAAACTGTTTTTAACTCCAAAAGCTAGCAGTGCCCTTGGTTGATTTGTTCACCTCAAACAAGTGATGGACCAGCTTTAATCTTCTTACGACAAGGTTCTCTGCAATGTGATCTTTCTTCCCTTCCTTGCCCAAGCTCCTAAGGGGACAGCTAAAGCAGAGGCTGAGAAGACAAGGTTAAATAACTTTATTGCCCCGTGTCTCAGTTTCCTCACCTGCAAATAGGGGATTAATAAAGCTTACCCATCTCCTGAGAGCACTGGCGGATTAAATAATCAATGATCAGATGGTGCTGAACAAAGGCTGAGCATTGTTATTAGAGAAGAAAGAAAATTTAGCATCAGATTGTACCTTTCTGGCATCTGTTGCCGTGGTAACCAGATTTGCAGGTGCAACTGCCATTTTTGGCGCTGCATTCCAGGGTGTTCTCCTCCACACACTGACATTCTGAAGAGCAGCCAGCCCCATAGGCCCCCTTGGGACAGTCTGAAAGCAAATGGAGGCAAACTGTCACTTGAAAAGCTACATCTTGGTGTTTTTCCCACATTGTTCGTGCACAGGAATGTAGCTCTGCAAGGCCTGATTATGGGGGAAACAAGGAGATCATCCTAACTGCAAAACAAAAACAAAAACAAAAAAACAGGGGAACAAATGTCTTTCAAATCAGGCAATTCATTTGCTTTTTGGCAAGTGGAGGTGAACAGGGAAGCCAGCACTACTTCAAAGGCTTTGGGGCTTCTGGTAGAAATTGCTTCTCAATGTGCTCCATTGGTGCCCATAGTTAAAATTCTCCAAGAACTGGGAAGGCCTGCCAGGCCCCATATTCATCCCACCACAGCATGGAGATGATGGACAAGCACTGATGTGAAGCTCACCATTGTTCTCCTTCCCTTTCATTATATGGTAATCAGAAACACTTAAGTTCTGTAGATAACGCAAAACTTTCATCCTGACAGTAGCATTATCTTGGCTACATCTTTGACAAATGGTGCCTTTCCTTCACTATTTTCCCCAAGCAATCAGGTTTTATAAGTGGAATGATAACATAAGGCTTATCACTTGAAAGTCCTACTTTTTGCATTCAGAAAAGCCTACCCTTAAGTCTCTCTTTGAGGAGTTACTTATAGTAATTCAATCCTCTTTCCAAAATACACCTCTGACCATTTTTTTCTTTCCCTTACAGATGTCCAAGGGACTTATCAAGTAAACGGTCCTTCAGGTGCCCTCCAGGCTCAAGTAATTATATTGTATGCCTATATAGGCTTTTAAAGAAAATAAGCCAATTGATTTTTTGGTGAATGGAAATGAATATCTTCTCTGATAAGCAGAGATAATTGAGAGGGGTGGTAACAGTGCCATCATGTAGGGTGAATCTTGTCCCTGCCAGGGATGGACAGGGTTACCTCTGAAGCAGAACAGAATTATTAAAAGGGTTCCTTTTTCAGTGTTCACATTATCTCATTTGGGTGATAAATTATACTAATTCTTGTTCATCTTTCCTGTGGCTTCCAAGTATTGAGTTCTTCCCCCGCCCCACCATCCCCAAGGTCTCTCAGTGAGATTGTCTTCCTTGGTGCAGGCCTCTCCTTATTCATCACAGAACTCTTTTCCGCATTGACTTCCATGCCCTCCCTCTTTCTGGTTCAGCATCCAGAACAGTGGTTCGGTGGACAGCTCAACTGTCAGGTGGGTATAACAAGGGCATGTAACTAGACATGTGACTAGAAAGAAAAAAAAAAAGGATGGGTGGAAGAAGTAACTTCTTTAGTCAATCCAGTGTCTACTCAGTGTTATACGTTGAACTATGTCCTCCAAAAATTCATATGTTGAAGTCCTTAGCCCCAGTACTTCAGTAACCTTATTTGTAATGCACATCATCAGAGACGTAATCAATTAAAATGCGGTCATACTGAAGGATGGGCCTCTAATTTGATGAAGCTGGTGTGCTTATACTTAGAGGACATTTGGACACAGAGATACTCGGTGGGGAGGATGCCATGTGAAGACTGGAGTTATGCTTTTACAAGCAAAGGAAGCTAGGATAGAGGTCTGGAACTAATCCTGGTGCCTTCAGAGGGAGCATGGCCTGCTAACACCTTCATCCCGGACTTCTAACCTCCAGAACTATGAGGAACCAGATCCCTGTTAGTTAAGGCACTCCGTTTGTGGCACTTTAGAAAACTAATATAGGATTTCCAACTGAAGCTTCTCAGGTCCAGGAAAGTGGCATTAATAAATAAAGCCTCACGTCTAAGCAAACAGTATTGAAAAATTGAAATGTGCATATTTTTTCGAAAGATAGTCACATTCAAAATGCTAACTACTATTACCACCACCATTTTCTCTTCAAATATTTGACCAGATGAGTTATGATTTTAATGTGTTTTTTGTCAAAATACCTAGTATTGTCTTATAAAATATTTTAAAAGTTTTAGTCTCTTCCCTTTTCTAGTTATTGTTACAAAATGGGATGTACCCTGTTATCTCAGAGTAGTGATTTTGAACTGGGGTGCTGCCAGAATTTTTAAGACTTGTAATACCTGACTATTTAGTCATGGAACTGACCTCTTTTCCCTTAGATTGTCAAATAAAAAAATGACAACAGCCAACACAACAACAGCTGTCTGGTATGAATGCCCAGTGTTGAACTTTAAATGTACAGGTACTAGAATAGAGTTGCATCTTATTGGTCATGTCACAAATAAGGTTGCATCTGATTGATTAATTCTTGGTACCATAACTCCTTATATACAATATAGACACCTATTTTTTTTAAAACTCACTTTGGAGCAAAAGAATAGGTAATTACCATTATTATTTTCTTGTAAATCAATAAAAATTATACCTATTTTTGTTACATCAGCAAAAAATATATATTTGTTGGTGTCCTGTAGAATTTTAGTAATTAGTTTATGTATGCCATTAGATACAAAGGTTGATAATTGCTGCCCTGGAGGAACAACGATAGAAATGATGTTATCTTTGTTTCTAGCTTTGTTTTCTTCTCTTGGCATGTTTTAGGAGGTACGATGTTCTGGAATATGCCCTCTGCACATGCATTTTCCACATTTACCCCTGCCTTCTCCCCTTCTCTTCTACATTTTTAACCTAAGCCAGACAGTTCATTACCCAGGTTCAGCTTTCCATGATGCTTTCCTGGCTCTCTATTTGGAGTCACAATTTACTCTCTGTTTTCTCAGGAAATACCTTTATAAAATAGACAAAGATCTGTGGACAGTCAACTAAAAATGCATTATACAACTCTAAAAGGTCTCCGTTATTAAGAAATGGGTGATGGTATTTCTGAGGTCCACTTGGCAGGACTTTCAAAGGAGGGCACACAGAACAGGTAGAGGAACAGGTAGAGGGCACACAGAACAGGGTGGAGAATGTCTCAGGCTCATTGGTGCCTGCACATGGCTACAAGATGGGATGGTGGGCACCCAGAGATGTCCCATTAGGAGAAATCCTATAAGCTGCTGAAGAGACTGAAGTACTTACTGGTGATTGTGTGTTCTCACATCTATTGCAAAATGTGAGTGATGGCCAAAATGCAAAATATATAACCTGTTGCAGAAATTTCAGAGAATGATAATGTTATGCACTAGAACCCGAAATAATGGAGACTTTTTCTGTTCATTTTAGTAGGCAACTCCCACACAGTACCATGCCTCCTTCTGAGTGAGCTAGTAACCATCCTTTCTCAATAATTAAGGTAAACACTAACGAGAACAGCAAGTAAAGAATTCAGAAATGGTTTTCTTTCATTCATCAAAATCAAGAGTCTCTAAAATAAGAAGTCTAAACAGAGAATAGAACATAAATTGTCACATATACATACATATCTCTGTGTGTGTGTGTGTGTGTGTGTGTGTGTGTGTGTGTGTGTGTAAATTATGGTTTTAGTCTCTTCTTTTTTCTAGTTTTTGGTACTTTTCTGAGCCTCCTGGAGAGCAAATGCAGTGCCTGTGACTTACTCAGGTGACAAAACCTCCCGTAGCGCCCTGGCTCACACACACAGGCACCGTGCACTCTGTGGCAATGGCCATTGTTGGCGCAGTTACACTTCCTTTTGCAGTTCTTCCCGAAGAGTCCTTTAGGGCATCCTAGAAGTGGGAGGACAGACAAAGCAGATATTAACCCCTACGCAAAACTTGCCAGAGCTGTTGTTACATGAAATAAGGAGCTTGCAAAAGGTTTCCAATCTGGATGGACTGAGGCTAATGAGATCTTTTAAAAATCCCAAATATGGTGTTATACCCTCTGCCTTAATTCCATAACGATCGGAAACACCTGTCAGGTTAAAACTCCAAATTTTATGACTACGAGCCCCTACCTAGACTGCCTCATGCAGCACGGATACTTTCTGATGGACTTTTGCTCCACCAGCTGACCTTGTTCCTTTAGGCAACTCTCTCGTACCCATTCCAGTATCTGGAAATTCTCTTTCCTCACACTTTCCCTGTCTCGTGCCCCTCATTTTGCAGGATTCTGTTGCAGTGCACCTTCTCTAGGAGTTGTTGTGGCTCACGCTGATTGCATTCTCCTCATGTTCTGATCCCAAGGCATACATTACCATATCATAGTGTGTGGCACAGTGCCTTGCAAAGACTTTATATAATTTGAATGAATGAATGCATATTATCCAGGGGGATGAATATTTGGGATACTCGTAGGAGCCTTCCCGTAACTCTCAAAGAGTGAAGTTAACATGGTTTCCATCTCCCCAGTTTCATGCTTTGTGGGACCCTAATAAACTCCTCATTATTTCTGGCAATCCCTAAAGACATAGCTTCACTGACTCTCTGTCTTCAGCTCTTGGGCCTGGAAAAGCATTTTTTCTTCTTCTTTATCAGCCTATTTAGAAAATGTGGCCTTTTCCCTGGTCTCCATGAGAAATCCACACACAGCCTCCATAATATTTTGTAAGTATTCATTCATAATTTCTTCTCTTTCTTTCTCCTCCTTTCCCCCTCTGATTTCCTCCTTTTAATTATGAAGAGCAAATCAATAAGTCTCAAGATTTTAAAGAGTCATCTTATGTGACCAGCACATGACAGTCCTACCATGTTCACAGGTTTTCCCATGCACCCCTGGGGGGCACTGGCACTGCCCAGTTAGAGGATCACAGGTGCCTCCATTCTGACAATCACAGGCGCTTCCACATTTTTCCTCACTGGTCTCGGGGGAACAAGCTATGAAAGAAATGGAGAAGTTGAGCAATCACAGTATAACATACTCATTGTGATACAAATGAAAAAACACACACAACCATCTTATCTTTCTATTAGAATTGGATACCAAGTAATCAAAATCTCAGTAATTTGCTGGCCTGAGAAGTATCTCTGGCATACCTCCAGGTTAAGTAGCATAGTAATTCCTGGTGATTCCTGATGCAGCTATTTAAAATGATGACTGAGGGTCTGCTAAGAAAGTGTACATACAAAATTTACCTTGTTCCTTAAACTCTAACCTTCACATTTTCAGTTTAGATACCCTTGCGGTATAATTCCAAAAACTTTAATGAGAAACACATTGCACCTTTTATTATAAAAAATGGGAAAAAAATGTAGAAGAAGAATGGTATGTCTTTTTAACCAGGAATGAATGCAACGAAGACTGTCTTGAGGGTCCCAAGGTAATTTGCATTCTTCGTCAAAGAATGATGAAGTCAAGCAAACAACAGTTTTGTTGTTTTGGGGGAAAGTGTTCAGTAGCCCAATAAAAATAATAAATTGGAAAAATGTCTGTAGCTTTATTTTAATTTTAACTTGGATGAATGCAGCTGTTTAGAAAATGTCAGTAACCATTTTAATTGACATTTTGTCATAATAGGCTACATATTACAAAACTACATTTATATCACCTCCTCTATTCACCCACCCACACCTACCCATCCCAGATGCTTATATGGAAACTTGGCTTCTTATGCACTTTTTTTTTTCTTTGCTTTCAAGCCCTAGGTTACTATGAAAAGGAAAGAAGAAAACAAAAGGAGTAAGAGAGAAAATCTGTCAACAAACATTGGTTTAGGTGTACATTGTTAATTTACATGTAGTAAGTCTGAATTCTTACAGTGAAAATAGATGGGATGAGCAGAAAAATCCACCTGAAAAAGAAAGCTAACGAAGTTCACATGACTTGCACAGTGTCTAGATTACAGCAAGTCATCAATTCAACATCTGCAAACCATGTTATTATCTGTCACTAATCCACACAGTAAAATATGATACCACATAGTGTACAGATATGCTAAGTAATTAATTAGCATCAGACAGAGCAATTGGCCTGGAGGAACAAATTTTAAAACAAACACACTCCAGACCACAGCTGGAAGATTTAGGAGTCATGAATCCTCCCCTCCATATATAACCCATTCATTTGTCATATGAAAATAACCTTCCCTGTCAATTGGATAGAGTATCATAATAACAAATGAAATATTCAATATAAAATCTCTTCAAAAGAAATGGAGTCCTGAAAGGTATTATTAAAATTAACATGATAATGTTTAAATTGTTTCTTTCTAATGACATGGAAAATTCCCAACACTTCAAAGCAGATATCTTCATCATAGACCAATAAATGGATTAGACTAGAAGATCTACTCAGTGAGAAAACTAACTCTCCATATCTCTTTAGAATGCTCTTTCTGAAAATTTCCCTTGCAGCATTTGAACAGCTGGGACTTTTAAAAATATGGATGATGAATGATTGGTCACATCCATTTATTGCAGTTTATTGGGATTTTTTTAAAAAAGTTCTCAGTTTCCATTTTTGTTAAAGAATCAGTGTGAACATCCCCCCCAACTTGAAATATTTCATTTTTATTTTTGTAAAGAATTTTTAAGAAATGCAGAGAAAAATGGGAAAAAAAAACTATAATCTTCTGCTTTCAGGGACAGACTTCTATACAGGAAGAACCATGTGAAAACTTAAAAGATCCTCAAAGTTTTCTACAGTCAAAGAAGGGGGCATCTTCATTTTATCAGCAAATTCATTTAAATATCTCTATATTAGTTTTATATTAGACATGCTATATTCTGATGTATTTGAGATAGATTTTTAGTTTTATTTCTCATGTTGCCATGCTAGAAATGAAGGGCTTGGAGGATACATATTTTCCAACAAAACTTACAATATAAAGAAAAATGTTTATTTCATTTTATTCATGAATAACACTTACGATTCTAGTTTTATAGAGTTGCAGATCAATGTCAAGTTGCAGGTCAATATAACTTTGAGTACTTTAATATCAAATTTTTTTATTTGTTCATTTATGAATTACATGCCTCCAGTTTTGAAAAACATGAGTAGGACCTTGACAATGAGCACTGAGTTTAGTCAAAGAAATGGAACAGGAGTATAGGTGTCTCTAATCAAAGAGAGAGAGAGGAGAGAGAGAGAAGAGAGAGAGAGAGAGAGAGAGAGAGAGAGAGAGAGAGAGAGAGAGAGAGAAACTGACTTTAAATTAACTGAAATAAAAATAGTTGTGATTAGACTAGCCCATCAAAAAGGCTTCATACAGCGGAAGCTGGTTTGGCTCAGTGGATAGAGCATCAGCCTGCAGACTGAAAGGTCCCAGGTTCGATTCCAGTCAAGGGCATGTACCTTAGTTGAGGGTACATCCCCAATGGAGGGTGTGCAAGAGGCAACTGATCATTGTTTTTCTCTCATTTGATGTTTCTATCTCTCTCTCTTACTCTCTATAAAAAAATCAATAAAATATATTTTTTAAAAAGGCTTCATACAATAAGGGGAATGGAAAAAAATGGTGGTTTAGCAAAAGGCACAAAAGTGTAAAGTGTAAAGCAACAAGTACAGAGTGGTTTAGTTTGTTGGAAATTATAAGCTGGGCAAAGGTTGTGATTAGGATCAAAAGCAAAAAAATTGAGAAGGGCCTGATTTTAGAGGGTCTCAATGAGTATATCAGAAACATATGCTTTATGTATCAGGAAATGAGTCACTCTTGTTAAAGTTTATATATATATATATATATATATATATATATATATATATATATATATATATATATAATCAGAAGAGATACGTAAGCAGAGGGATGCTTAAGGAAGGTCCTCAAGACCCTAGCTAGTAATCTTGGGTAAGCCACTTCATAGGTTGTGACTCAAGATCCTATCAATCTCCTAATAGAAATAATATTTGTGCTTTTTCTTCCTGTATGCTAGGGATTCACATAAAAAATCTGCTCATATCATCTTCTAACCCAGTAGTTGGCAAACTGTGGCTTGCGAGCCACATGCGGCTCTTGAGCTGCTGTTTGCTGCTCTGTTGACTAATGAGTTTGCCAACCACTGACCTAGACTCTCCATTCCAATAATTACAGGCAGTTGATGTTCCTTGTGATTAAGCCCCTATCCCAGTGGTCGGCAAACAGCGGCTCAGCAGTTTGCCAACCAGTGTTCTTTCTGTTAAGCTAATCACAAAGCCTAAGAAAAACTTTCTCTTAAAAATGTTGTAAGGTAAATTTAAAAAGAGAAAGATGAAACAAAGATAGTTAATAAATTTCTAAGCAAGTTGCTCTGGCATTTGTTGAGATATTCTCTAAAATCTTTTTTTTTTTAAATTTTATTGATTTTTACAGAGAGGAAGAGAGAGGGATAGAGAGTTAGAAACATTGATCAGCTATCTCCTGCACACCCCCTACTGGGGATGTGCCTGCAACCAACATATATGCCCTTGACTGGAATGGAACCTGGGACCTTTCAGTCTGCAGGCTGATGCTCTATCCACTGAGCCAAATTGGTTTTGGCCACATGTTCACTTTAAAACCTCAGTGCTTCACAGGCATTCTCTTTGCACAACAAATAAATTGGTTTCTCACCCATATCAACTGCTTACCTTGCTAAAACATTTTAGGGAGAACACAGATATAGGATAACTCATCACCAGTGGTCTAGCAACAGGAAAGGAGAAGAAAGCACCCTCTTACCAATCCTTCAGGGCATCACTCACTTTCATTGCAAAGAATGCCACCCCAGCCAGCTGGGCAGGAGCACCCAGGCTTTCCCTCCTGGCACCGGCCTCCATTCATGCAGTCCTCACAGCTCAAACTGCAATCATGTCCAAAGGTGTGATCTACACAGACTGGAATATGGTACGTTTTCAGTTAGTTCAAACTGTCTCAATCACTGTCACTGAAAATGGAGACGATACACTTAATTTCACACACACACACACACACACACACACACACACACACACACACGTGCGCACGCACACATCCTTCAATCCTTGAAGATATTTCTTAAAGTACCAGAAAAAAATAACAGTAAAGAAATACCTTTTAAAGTAGATATTATTTCGTATTTTCCAGTGACACTATTGAAATATAGTGCCAAAAGAATATTTAGAATGTTTAAGAATGTTTAAAAAGTATGAAAAGAAATTATCATTGACTCCAGAACACCCAAATAATCAATATTCCTGCCACTTGGTGCTTTTCCTCTTCTTGGACTTTAGATAAACTGAATTGTAAAGTATGTGTCACTCTTCATTCATTTAATGTAATGTTTGTGAGACTCACCCATAATACACTTACACTAGTGTTTGTTTGTTTTTAAGTCTGTATTACATTTTAGTGTATAAGTGTGCCACGAAATGTTTTTCCATTCTCTTTTTGAGGGAAATTACCTTAATATAAATAAGGATGGAGAGATTTGATTTCCATTGTTTTAAGGATTGTTTCATTTCAAGTTTTGCCTCTGTTTCTAGTGGGGTCTCTCAGGCTTCCCAATTGAATGGCTGTTATGTTGAGCAAGCCCTCTCTCCTTTGGCAGATCCTGGGCTGCTGATTCTACTTCCCAATCGCTATGATACTGCTGGTAACTGAGCTCAGCCTCTTGCCCTCTTAGTAGCTGCCTTTTTGATTCCCTGGCTTCTCTGCCTGCAGAGCCCACACATTAGCAAATGGCTCAAGAAGCAAAGCAGCAGAATTAGTCCATTCCACCTGTCTGGGTTTTTCTCCTCTCCAGATCTTGGCCATTCAAGTTCTGGTTGCCTTAGTAGCCCTGAACTCTTTCTGTTCAGTCTTTCAGTCATTGAAGTATCAGAAGATTGATGAAGAAACAGTAAAGCATTCCTATTTTTAAGCAGTTGCATTTACTAATATTATTATTGTGATTCACCAAAGCATGAAAATACTTCTGCCATTTTACTGAATGCATCCTGGAGCTATCATCAAGCTCTGTTAAACTACTGCAAATAGAGGGAAAACAAAAAGAGCAGCTCTGTTTGACAAAGAAAAGAAAAGGAAGCAGCAGACTGGCTGCAAACTGTTACTTTTGAAAGAGGAAATGCTAATTTATTTTGATCAGGAGTGATTTGATGCTTGAGTTCTGTTGTGTGGATATATGCATCTAAGAAAAACTGTTCGCGATTTTAAGATACTGTCTTGGTCCACTTGAATATATTAAACAGTTAGTTCTCATTGTTTTAAAAACTGGGAAGGATCTAGATTTCAAGGCTATTTAAACTAAGTTTTTAACTATATAAAAGTGACTTCTAATGGAATCTTAATAGTCAGAGCTAAAAGGTCCCAGTCCTCCCCATTATGTTAATTTAAAGATACTTTTCAGCTCCATTTCACAGTAATGAACTTGAACATCCCCTAAACCATGCACCCACACCTCTACACATACCAACATAGCAACCTTATTGTGAAAGGGAAGGTTTGTTAGGAAGCTCAGAGGCGATTTTGGCCCCCCTTTTCTTGCTAACACCCTGTTAAAATGTTAAAATATGTGGTGGCCTTAAGTATGTATAATGAAATTGCTTATAAAATAATTTACATGAATTCTCTAATAATAAAGAAAAGAGGTGACTGCAATGAGATAAATTCTTTTTACTCACCAACTTTGGGCAATAGAGCTAGTTCTCCTCGAATATCTTTTCCCACTTTGTCCTCACCTTCTTCATCTTGGTAGGTGGGAGGCAGAGAGGGAGCAATATAATGAAGCAGTCTAGGCGGGCTCTTGAACAGCAGGCCTGCGAACCTCACGACTTCTAATTCCTCTTCTCCTTCCTCTAGCTCATCATCATCTAAAGCTAAGACCACACAGAAAATGGCTGGATTCAACATGCTGGTTAAAAGAAGGAAAACTGAGCAAGGGCGGATGAGAGAAACGAGAGAGTTTGAACTAGACAGCCAAGGCAGGGGGCCACTGAAAGGGAGAACTCTTTGAGGCCATTTCAAAAAGTCTCTTGTAAATGAGGGTGAGAAGCAGCTATCACAAAGCTGACACTGCAGCAGAGAGAACAAAAGGAAAAGATCTCAGTCTGTGAGGAAAGGGGAGGACAGGTTGAGTGAAGGAAGAATTTGTGGCCTCCATTGTTCCTGAAGAAGAAAATGGGGGTGGAAAGTAGATTAGAAGAGACACATGAGATTCTTCACAGTGACTTACAGATGCAAGTTTTTCCATCACTTCCAATTCTGTAGCCTTCCTCACATGCACAGTGGTATGTTCCCACAGAGTTAATACATATTTGATCACAGACTATGCTGGTATCCAGACACTCGTCCACATCTAGAAACATTTAAACAATGTCTGCTTTTAGTCACTGAGAGATAAAATAGACATGGTGATGTCCTGGGCATATTCATATTCCTGTTATCACCTTGATTAATTCCTGACAATGTACTCTCTTATAGAAAACTTAGCCTTGGACACTTTCTTGAGTATAGCCCTTTTTTTTTTCTTTCACTCAAGTTTACTGTAGTTCATCTACAGAGACAAGGCCTTTCTGAGACCTTGGCGTGAGGTTTTGATGAAGAATTTTTTTAAATTAAAATATATTTTATTGATTTTACACAGAGAGGAATTGAGAGGGATAGAGAGTTAGAAATGTTGATGAGAGAGAAACATCAACCAGCTGCCTCCTGCACATCCCCCACTGGGGATGTGCCCGCAACCAAGGCACATGCCCCTGACCGGAATCAAACCCGGGACCCTTCAGTCCGCAGGCCGAGGCTCTATCCACTGAGCCAAACCGGTCTCGGCATTGATGAGGAATTTAAAACAAAATAAATTCAATGGTCTCAGGCTGTACACCATTTTGTATAATTTTCATTCTTTCTTGAAATATCCAGTATCTGCAATGAAGCATTTCTTCCATGCATAATTCTGTACAAGGTTTATGGAGAATTTTAGAGATGGAAGAACGCTAAACTTTAATTTCATGTGACTGTCTGAGCCTAGACACTGGTCAATGTGTTCACAATAGTAAAAGTTTACTGATGAAGCTGGGTTTCTAAGCTTTGCCTCAGATGATGATACCTTTTCAATTTGGATGCATGTACCCAAGTATGTATATTCACACCATACAATCATCTTTTGGCTGACTTTGCTTAAGAGCAGATGGTTGATGAAATTCAAATTTCTTGGCTCCTGTTAATTGGATTAAATGTGGTAAATGGTAATATATTGTACTGTGTTTTCAGATATAGATATCATATCTGTGTTTTCTTTGCTGTTACCTACATTTGCAAGGCTGAGGAGCTTGGCATCTATATGAAAAAAAACACACACCGATCATTCTCAACATAGTTCAGGAATTTGTTTCTTTAAGCAAAGAAACACTATTTTTTCTGAGGCATAATATTCTTATATATGTTGACTTATTAAAAAAGATCATCTCATGTTTGCTTTGACTTAAAGAAAAATGTGGTTCGAAATAATGGTAATGATCATAAAATGAAAATGTAAAGATTCCATGTTTTAAAAATAAACTTAAAAAAAGTAAATGGTAGCAATGGCTCAAATGAGCTGTTCTAAATGTAATGGTGTAAAAAAAGTGAACTGACTCTACTCACTAAATTCATACTCTCCTGTGAAAATAACTATGTAATCTAGAAATTATTTGAAAGGTAAGTGAACCAATTTTAACAAGGAACTTAGAAAATTGTAAAATTGCATCTTAAAACTTGAATTAGTTAAATTAATGTCATATATAAAAGATTCTGATACAGATTTGGACCACGGCAATGAATTGGCAATCCTCGTTACTATCCTCTAATTAAAATGATTTTCAACACCAACTTTCTAATTCCGGGCAAGATTGTCATGAGTGATTCATATGGCAGTGTGCTATGGTCTGCCAGAACCTTTCACTTGCCTATATAGGTTAGGTAAAGGAAATATGGACCAATAAATTATTATAAAAAATAGCTACCTTTAGATGAGTGACTTCTCTCAATCACTGTATTAAGCACTTCCCATTTATTATTTTCTTTAATGTACAAACTAATGCAATTATTGTCTACGCTTTATTGGTGAGGATCTGCAGCTCAGAGCAGTTCATTGCCCAAGCTCATAGGATAGTAAATGGTAGAGCCAGGGAGACATCAAAGTCTCTACAGGCAAGGTCTTCCCTTTCCCCCCTTAACCCCCTTCCTCACAGGTTCCTCCTTCACTGATTGTCTCATTGCACCAGTGATTTCACGTTAGATCTCAGGAACTTACCATCACACCCACAGCCATCTGAACTGATCTGAAAGCCTTCCTCACAGCTGCATTCATAGCCTCCCAAATAGTTGATGCAGAGCTGGGCACAGCAGGCTTCTCCATTCTCACATTCATCGAGGTCTGAAGGGGAATAGGACATTTCTGTTGTTTCAAATATAGGAATTGCACTGGCCTATAGAATTAAATTTAAGCCTCACTTATAAATTAAGATTGTTTGACTACTCAATTTCTATTTCTCAGGCTACATTGTACAGACATCAAAGCAATTCTAACACGAAAAGAATGAGGCTCACATTCGCATTCATGTTTCTTGCATGTTTTTCCTATGCCTGTCAGTTATTTTTAAAAGTATGTAAATAATCTCCAAATGCATTTATAAGCTCAGAAAAAGAGATTTCTGCTATTTTCCCAGTGTGAACAGCAATTTGACTGAATAAACAGAGAACTTGAAGAAGAACAACAACAGCATCAAAACAGCTTGAGAAGAAGAGTCAAGAATTCCACTCAGTGAACATTTGAGCAACAAGGAGGCAGTCTTACACTTGTTCTAGAGCTTCAAATGACAGAACCTTGCAAGCAAATGGAATTCACAAAACTGGGAAGAGAAGTGGCAGCTGCAATTTGGAGAGAGGGCAGACAATCTTTTTAAATATTGTGTTTTGAATGATAGAATATTTCAGAAGATTTGCTTGAACTTTGCCATGATGCTTTGGCTCGGATGAGCAGGGTCAGGGCTTTTCATTTTACTGTTGGTGACATTACCCTGGCATGTCCTACCAGATAAACAGCTTTTTAAGTGATGCTCTTTAAGTGTCCTTCAGCATTGTTATCCCAGAATTCTATAATCCTCAATATCGTGTGCACATACATCACTGCTCTGGGGAAAAGAAAAACACACCACAATTAAATCAAATTGAAACCCTTTAGCCAAAGAATAATCCATTTGGCTTGAGTTTTGAGGTAACCATTCCTCACATAAATGTCCAAGGAGTAGCAACAGACTCTTCACCCACTGTTTACCTTGGGAGAGATGCCTGGTAATTGGGTGGTCTGGGTTTTTGGCTCTAGGCTTTTGGGTCAATTCAACCTTGTGTTTGTTGAGCTGGTATGTTGGGTGGCCTGTCAGTGCTGAGTTTACAAAGTCTCATTGCTCCCTAGCTACATGAGCAGCCACAGATATAAAAGGTCAATATATCAATTAACCTTGGAAAGGGTACCAGTGTAAGGAAATGTAGACAAGAGGAAAGGGAGGAAAGAAAATGCAGTCAATTATCTAAGGTGAGGGATCACCATAAAACTTCCAAAGGAAGGTCATTTGGACACAAAACATTCTATCTCCTGCAAAATGTCAGAAGCAGTGCTACTCACATAATTCTACTTGGTATTTTTTCCTCTCTTTTATTAAACCATCCTTTGTCCTTTGGATTAAATAGCATGAATACAGAGGGTAAAATTGTTTTTAATAATTCAGTTTTATTTAATTTAAAACATTATCCTTAATTTTTTTTTTGTTTTCAATATTTTAAAGTCTTCTCAAATACTAACAGAGCCTCCAAACACATATTTCTCAGGGTTCCTTGTTCTCAGGTACTAGGAGCAAAACTGTATTACAATTGGAAAATGATTTCAACATTCTATCATGTTATAATCCATTTAGATTCTTCTTCCATCATCATTCCTCTGGGGTGATTTCTAGCTTGTCTCATATAAACCATCCTAGTCTGAAACTCAGCTGAAACCCTGCTCTTCTTACATCACAAGCCTTTCTTAAAATGTTGTGTCCCTTCAACACTTACATCACCTGTTTCCTAAATTCCTTGACTTATTTTCAGATCTTACTTGGTAAAAACTTTGCTTGCTAATTTTTCCCTTTTTATTATCCTCCTCTCTGATAATCATGGTTTTCTTACATTTGCATTGGTATTGCCAATTGCAAAGAAATGCACTTATTCATAAAAATTTAGCTCTCATCAAAAATAGAGCTTCAGCTGAAGCCAGGCAAAACAATTAAAAATTTCAGTTTCTACTTTAGAAAAGAGGGAAAATTAAACCTTGGAAAAAATGATCTTTTGTATGTGACCCCCATATATAAACTGTTGAACAAACTCAAAGGGTTAGAAAAAAAACACAATTGTTACTAATATCTAATGATTGCTAAATGCAGAGATCTTACTGCTGATCAGACACTTGGATTTTCTATAGCTGTCTTTCAAATTGTGTTAACACATCTCTAGGTTTTAGCCCTAATACATTTTTGGAGTTGGGAAAGACAGGTTGACAATTTGCAGACTGGACAACTTATTTTCTCATTTATTTGTACATTCTCAAATATAAAAAAATGTTGATCTTAAAATAAGCTAAAAAGAATTTTTTAAAAAAATTCCTTGAGATATGAATATTTTTATAAATCATCCATGGCCTTAATCTGTTCTCAGGTAAATAAGCAAAACTTGTATGTGTGCCCTCTAAACAATTCATTGCCTTACTATAATGAATATTTGGTCTTTAGGAATGAGCATTACTTATTTTTGGGAAATGACATAAACTTAAGCCATAAACAATATAATGTCATGCTGCAATCTCATAAATATGCAATTTTCTATATTTTGACCCTGGCAGATGCTATTTTTTTTTCTAGTTATAAATAAGAATTTTACTGAATTGTGCTTTTCAAAGAATAAGGAAAGACATGAAATTGTAAGTCACAAATAAAAGGTTTAGTGAAAAGACAAGTAGAGAGCAAGGAAGGGAAGGAGGAAGAAAAAAAGGAATCCCTTATTTTTTCCAGAGATATAAGTATTAGCAAGGTAGAAAAATATAGTAAGCAAGTTTTTCAGTACGTAAGAAAAAGAAATGAAAGCAATGGGTTTCATTAAGATAGCAACTGTAGCCTCAAAAAAAAAAATGCAGGAGGCAATGTTGGATCAAGATATACAAGTGATGACATTGTTTTGGTTAAATAATTTATGAAACCAGAAAACTTCAAAATCCCTTAAAATGCATACTGTCACATAAGAAAAGAAATCCCAAGTACTTACACCTTTGAAATTCAACTCTTTTATGATACTCTAGTTTGTCTCAACCATACTGAGTAGCATAAAATGGTCAAATATTGTTTTAGTACTCGTAATTTTTAAGAAAGGTTATATAAAGCAACACCCAAAAATCAAGCAAATATGATACTTAATTCCAGAATAATGGCAAATTGCTTTAGAGGGGCTTGTAGGTGCTCTCAGATACAGAGCATATTAATGATACAGTTTGATGCTCACTCTCCCTGTTTTTAGTAGATATTCCCTTTTCTCAGAAGCTCTAGATCCCACATTCATTATGAAGCAAGGTTGAAGTAAAATTTATTTTTCTCATCATCTCTAATGATATGAGTTCTAGTCATAAAGGTTACTTATTAAAAATGCATTTGAGCTGGGATTTTCAAAGAATTTTAAATTTTTCTTTTGGAACGCAGGTGCCTATCATACCACAGTTGAACATACATCCAAGCCATCACCAAGTTGAAAGGAAATGCAGTCTGGCTGGCATCACTCAGGAGATAAGCATCCACCTATGAACCAGGAGGTCATGGTTCAATTCTGATTCCTGATCAGGACACATGTCCAGATTGTGGGCTCAATCCCCAATGTGGGACTTGCAGGAGGCAGCCAATCAAAGATCCTCTCTCCTCATTGATGTTTCTATCTCTCTTCTCCCCCTCTCTGAAATCAATAAAAATATATTTTTTAAAAAAGAAAAGGAAATACATATGATAAAGCTTCTGCATGGGGTAGAAAGAAGTAGGTTATGTGATAGCAAGAATTTCATTCAGTGGTTAGATAGGTCTTGGAGTATTTTCCTGAAATAAAACTAAGTTCATATGTTTTGTTAAATGTTTTAAAGTTCCTTTCACTTTAAAGTAAATATCCAAAGATAATGATGTCTCCTGCCAAGTAATATTTCTTTTACATTTATCTAGTAGTCAGAGACTGCTTGATTTATTTCTCCATGCAGTTTGAGAGATGTAGCTCAGATTACAGCAGTATTAGAGAGGAAAGGACTAAATGAATCCAGGACAGGTCTAAGGGAAGATGACATTTACCATACATTACCTATGCATGTTTTCTCATCTGAATCAAGCTGGTGTCCATGGTTACAGGAACAATGGGGCCCTCCAAGTTCATGTTCACAGTGATGTGAACAACCACCATTGTTCTTTTCACAGCTATTGACAATTTCCAATTCAATCCCTTTCCAAACAAGCAGAAGAGGGTTATTAGCATAACAGCAGAGAAACCTGAATATATGTCAACAAGAGGAATACTCTGTTGGGAGGACAACACACTTTATTGGAAATTTATTGATCCTCTAAGTAAAAGTCTGAGGGGCTATTCAGGATTGCAAATATCTATACAATATTAAAACACTAATAAATCTATAAGTAATATCAAATTAACAAATTGGTATAGAAAGGGAAATAGTCCACCACTGGCTATTAAACACTTATCTTAAATGACATTTACCTTTGGGGATTCTCAGTACTTTCAGGACATTAAAAAAAAAAATGTATTGAATTAGTAATTAGAAAGCACAGAGGTTGTCTGCTAGCTGACATTTCTTCTGTTCTCAAGCTAATAGTATGTTATTATCTGTCCTTTCTAGAGGCTATGAGTACTTGAAAATACTGTTAAAAATAGCCTTGAAACAGAAGTATGAACACAAAACCAATGAATTAGCTGATCATATTTAAATAATAATGCGTTAATGTGCTAATTAGCATTGAGGTATATGGAAGTCACTTATTATACAAACATACTATTACTCTGAAAACCAATTTGCTGATCCCAGTACATGTTAATTTGGGATCATTTTGGGTGACATCAACTTCATCATATGGATGCTATTGTACTGAGCACAGAGGCATTATAATCAATCATTTTCTAAGTGAGGAAATGAGAAATTTAAAAATGCTTTGAATCACTGTTAAAAGTATGGGATGTAGGTACTCTGCTATGTTTATCATTGTTCTCTATTGTTGTTCATCTGTATTACTTAGGCATAAATTCTTATTACCGTATTTTCCAGCGTATAAGATGACCCCCTAATTTTACAGTTAAAACATAGGTTTAGGCCTATATTTGCTGTATAAGACTACCCCCACTTCCGAGGAAACACCAGGTCTTTTTTTAATAGACAGCCTCTCTGACTCTGGCCAATCTGAGCAGGCTTTTTACTAGAACACAGTGTCGTCTTATACGCCAGAAAATATGGTACTTGTTATATAAAGGACACATAATTCATTGTTAAAGATTAGCATGCTCTCAAAACATTTACTCCACCTACAGATTTTGAAAAAACTCAAAATGCTAGTCTTTATCAAGAAAGTTCTATATGTAAGTTAGTTAAATATTGAGGTTTGGTGAGAGCTGCACAAAGAATTTGGCTAGCTAAATATTCACATAAGAACAATAAATGTAAAACCACACTTCAACCAAATGTATTCAACTGTAGAGTAAATTTGCTTTCCCAAGTAAATTCTATAGAAAGCCTTTAACTCATAATGTATTGATACTGGCCCCTCTTTCATGATAACGGAGAATGCACAAGTCATATTATGAGAGATTTTATTTCAGACTAGAGGCCCAGTACACAAATTTGTGCACAGGTGGGGTCCATCTGGCTCGGCCCCAACAGCCAGATTGGTGCCAGTCCTGGCAGGAGAAGACAGCAGGAGGTTGGCCAGAGACAAGGTAAGAATAAAGGCAAAAGGAGGGGTGATATAAAGATTTAGGAGAGAAAAGAAATATTGGCTTTGATGGTGAGGAAAGTGGGCATGTTCCATAGCATAGTTTTGTCCAGCCATGTTCCTGACTCATTTAAGATTTATGAATTTCAAATAAAGCCAATTAACATGGTGTGTTTTAAACCTAGCAAAACTCTTTTGCTGAGGTATAGGTGTGAAGTGGAGAAGGAAGGGAAGAAGTTGCTGAGAAAAAGGTAGAGGCTGAAGATGAGGAAGAATAAGAAATTGTTGATATACCATGATCATATGAGAGGCAGAGATAGGGAAAGCATACAGAGAAACAAAAAAGCATATTATTCTGTAATTTTAAGAAGAAGGGGGAAGAAAAAGAGTGGGTGAGGGTGGAGAATATTGAGACAGAAAAGATGAAATATGAAGAAATCTGTATCAGATGGTTTTAAAGGTAGTTAAGTAGAAAATGTGTTCCTCTATAGATTAATCAGCAGACCAGTGGGGAAGACATGTGAGAAGGAAATAGCTGCAAGAGCTATTAAGAGCAGCTAATAATTCACCTCAGTAACATTTTAATGTATTTGTAGTAAGGGATTCATTACATTATATGACTGAGCCTAGGTGAGAAAGAAGCAAAGGTTAGATGACATGGATCATAGGAGCAAGGGATGAGTCAGTGAAAGAGGATGCAAAAGTGGAAGGAGATGCTTAAAGAGACATGAGAGAAAGAATAAAAAATGGGGAATAAGAAGGCAAGGCACTACAGCATCCCATGTGTCTGATATTTTGCTACAAACTAGGGCTGCTCCTTGTACTGCTGGTTCCTTCCCTCATACTAGTTCCTTTTCCTTGAGCTTTACATTGGTATTACTAGAGTCCGATAAATACTGCATGGCAGAAGGGATGAAAGAAGGCAGACTCTTCATAGGGAGAGCCATGGGTCTAAGGGAGCTCCATGTCAGAGGACTTGAGACTTAGCCCTTACTGGCTACACTGGGTGTAGTATGTTGACCATTTTCTTTTCTTTTTTTAAAAATTATCTTTATTATTGAAACTATTATAGATACCTCCTTTTTCACCCACATTGACCCCTTTTAGTCCACACCTGCCCCTGCCTCAGGCTTTCACCACACTATTGACTATATCCAAGGGTTATGCATATCCTATATAATAAATAGTAACAGGCAAATTGACCCTAATGGCAGAACGACTGGTTGTTATGATACATACTGACCACCAGGGGGAAGACACTCAATGCAGGAGCTGTTCCCTGATGGTCAGTGCACTAGCACAGAGTGAGCTCTGTTCAGCCACAAGCTGGACTGATGCCTGCAAGCTCAGTGACAATGGTGAGAGCCTCTCCCACCTCCTTGGCAGTGCTAAAGATGTCTATCTGTGGCTAAGCCATCAATTGGACATCCCCCAAAGGCTCCCAGGCTGCCAGAGAGATTTCTGACTGCCAACTTAGGCCCAATTTCCCTGTGAGGGGGCCTAAGCCGGCAGGCGGACATCCTCTGAGGGGTCCCGGACTGAGAGAAGGTATAGGCCAGGTTGAGGGACACCCCCCACCAAGTGCATGCATTTTCATAAACTGGGCCTCTAGTGTGTATATTCAGCTCATAGATTAGCCACTTCCCACCCACCCCATGCCTTCCCTTTGCCATTCAACAATCTGTTCCATATTGCTATGTCTTTGGATCTATTTTCTTCATCCGTTTATTTTGTTTTTTAGATTCCACATATTTCTATTGATTCCAGGCCTGTTTCTTTAAAATAAATAAATAAATAAAGGGTTTGAACTTTTAAGCTCTCATCCCTACTGCATCCCAGTGGCAAACATTCTCAGGAGCTTTGCATTGGCAAGATATTCAGTGTTGTTCTTTGATTACTCTTGTTTAATACTTGTCAAATGTCACACATTCCCAGGGCTGTGATTGCTGCCACTTACTGTAACACCGTTTTCCATCAGCTCCCAGCTCAGAGCCAGGGTGACAGGCACAAGTGAAAGATCCCACTGAGTTCACACAGCGATGGCCACAGTGAGCAAGCCCTTCTGCACACTCATTTATGTCTGCAGAGAGAGACACACACACACACAGTGGCTGTCTTTGGAGGTTGAATACTGATTTATGTGTAAACTACAAAAATGAACTAAATCATTCCTTCCCCTTCTGCCCTCATGTCCAGTGTAACAGTGAAATATCCCAACGGCTCCATATTTACAAATAAACTAACTGCTAATGACATTAATTCTAGTGTAGGCTTATGCTCTCAAACACTTACTTCTATTATAACCCACTAGTATTTATTAATTGATAAAAGAGAAAAGAACACAAGTAAAAAATATATAGACATTATCTATCCCCTAATAATATAGGTAGCAGTCATTACAATTTGTTTTTGGAATATATATCATATTCATAACAAATATGGTATTTCCCTGATTTAAGGTAGTCAATAAATGTGGCCATAGATAAGGCAAGTTTGAGGGCTTCATATGTAGCAATCTACAACCTAGGTTGTACTCATGACTGTCCCTAGGCCTTGCTATTTAAACAGTGGTGCCGCTGAAGCTGGTTTGGCTCAGTGGTAGAACGTCAGTCTGCAAACTGAAAGGTCCCAGGTTCGATTCTGGTCAAGGGCATGTACTTTGGTTGTGGGCACATCTCTGGTAGGGGGTGTGCAGGAGGCAGCTGGTCGATGTTTCTCTCTCATCAATGTTTCTAGCTCTCTATTTCTCTCCCTTTCTCTCTGTAAAAAAAATCAATAAAATATAAAAAATAAAATAAATAAACAGTGGTGCTCTCTCTCCTGACACCAAAAGCCAAGTCTATTCAGTGTCAGTTAATTTTGTGGCCCAGGTAGTCCTTGCTCCTTCCCTTTAGATGAATAGATCTCCCTATCATTTTTTCCCACACTAGAAGGTCCTCCATGTCATCTGGATCAGGGCGCTTAAGAGAAATGCCCATTAAAACCCTAAGTAGGCAGTAATTATGGGGATAGACTTTCTAAGAAGAATGGTTTTAAATAAAAACTTCCAAAGAGATTATATATATATTATATATATATATGTGTATATATATGTATATATATATGTATATATATGTATATATGCACATATCTATATATGTATATATTTGTCAGTTTCCCATAAATATTTAACAGATCTTATTTTGTACCAGGTGCTAAGTGAAGCAGGTGCTATGTAAACAGAGGACCAAAGTAGAAACATTTTCTGTCAGAAAAGTGTGTTAACACAGTCCACAGAAAATTCTCTTAGTTTTGGCTTAAAGAAAACACACACACACACACACACACCTACCACCACACTTTAATACTTTTTCATTTTATCAAAGTATTTATCAGTCCCATAAGTCAGGAAACGTTTAGATATTTTTATAATTAATCCAAATATACCATTTCTCATGTCATGAAAATGTTATGATAAAATGAAGGATTCTGCGATTTCTCAGAAGTTATTAGAACAAAAAACTCTCCCATATGAATAACGTCATTTATCAGTTCTGGTCATCAAATATTTATCACTTCATCCTTTTATGAATTATGGCTGTTTTGTTATTTCTAGGAAACAGAAATATGTAACCTTGGATTTATAGTCTTCCTCCCTTCCTTTCTTCCTTCCTTCCTTCCTTCCTTCCTTCCTTCCTTCCTTCCTTCCTTCCTTCCTTCTTTCCCTTTTTTCTTTTTCTGTTTCAATTAACCCTACTTCTAAGAACTCTCTTTTGGACATACTTGGTTTTCAAAGGTTATCCCCATATCTTCTGTAGCCTAAAATAAAATGAAAACCTTCCCGGTGTGCTTATGGAAGGTTTTGAGATATTAATTCTGGAACTCACTTCAGAATGAGAAACGGAAACCAAAACACATTAATTCTAAAGCTACCCCAGACCTTTTCTTTGCAATTAAAAATGTCTCTGAGTTTTTATAGTATCATAAAATACTTTTCAGAATGATCAAATAAGAGTATAAAGGTTCCCTTTTAAGCATAAATGAAAACACCTTTCTCCTAGCTGCTCTAACTATTCAAACTGCATTACCATAAAATTTCAAACAATTACATAATTAAGCTATCAGATTCATTTTCCTACCTCTGCAGGCCTTTTTGTCTTCAGACAGCTGGTAGCCTGGGTGACAGGCACACCTGGCCACTCCATTCTCACTCTGACAGATGTGGGCACATCCATTCGCACCTGTGCAGGGGTCCATCTCTAAAAGCAATTAAGCAGTGATAGTTTGCAATTAATTAACTTGAGAAAGTTATATAGAGTGGAAGGGTGGAGAAAGGCAAAGAAGGACTTGGGGCCACTGGGTTTCTCACATAAAGATGGTGAGGACACTTGAAAATTCTTTCCCACTTCAGATGCAACTAACTCATCAAAACATTTCCCACTGTGTGACCTGAACTCCAAAGTCTGAACAAATCAAAACATGGATCAAGGCCAAAGAAGAAGCAACTTAATTTCACTCTTTCTAAAAGTATGCCTGCTGCCCAAAGTTAAATACAGTCAGCAGAAATCCTCCACATACCTTTGCTCTTCCCCTACCTTCTCTCCCCATCGTTTCTACAACTTTGAGCAGCAGAATCCTTCTTAAACAAACCTTAAAAAAATATATATATATATATATGTTATTGATTTTCCACAGAAGAGGAAGGGAGAGGGATAGAGAGTTAGAAATGTTGATGAGAGAAACATCGACCAGCTGCCTCCTGCACAACCACTACTGGGGATGTGCCCACAACCAATATACATGCCCTTGACTGGAATCAAACCTGGGACCTTTCAGTTCTCAGACCGACACTCTATCCACTAAGCCAAACCAGTTTCAGCTAAACAAACATTTTTACCACCTCCAGACATTCTCTGCTTCACTGTGTGAAACAAGGCCAACTGGAGACAGGGACAAGTCTCAGCTACAGCTGCCATGGAAATGCAAGAAAGAAGTTCAGATCCTTCTGGAATTAGTCAGCTGGCCTCCTTCTCTGCCTCCCTTGCTCCTTAGTATTAGTTTTAGTCTCTGAAAACTAATGTGAGGCCACACATCCTATCAGGAACATCTCCGCACAGAGCTTACCGAATTTATGGGTAAAGTGATTCTGGTCTGAATTTGGGAATCCAGCCTTGTCTACATTAAAGGCTGTCGGGTGGGACTGCAGAATTCCTACTCCTGCCCTCTACCATATGTAAAAAATATGATGCACAATACAAAAAGCAAAACAATGTATAAAGCTACCTTATCTCCACATTCTCCCCTTTTAATCCAATCACTACCATAGATAAATGCTTTCATGCATTTCTTGTAAATCCTTCCAGACTCTGAAAGTATAAGTAATGCAAATATCTATCTATCTATTATCTATCTATCTATCTATCATCTATCTATCATCTCAGATGCAGTAGACATTGTTTTGCTCATTGCTTTTACTTAAGGAGTGGTTGAGTCGAATATGCAGACTAATTAGGAGGAGTACTTCTATTTATTTTAGGTCTTTAAGTTCAACAATGCTTTACAGTTTTCAGTATATAATTTTTGCATTGTTTTGTTAAATTTGTTCTTACTAATTTTATTCTTTTTGATGCTATTATAAATAGAACTGTTTTTTAATTTTGCTTTCAGATTGTTCGTTGCTAAAGCGAAGAAATCTACTTGATTTTTATATGTTGACTCTATTTCCTGCAACTTTGATTACTTTTTTATTAATTTTAATATTGTGTAAGTGGATTCCTTAATATTTTCTACATGCTAGATGATTTCATGCCCAAATAGAGTTATTTTAACTCCTCCTTTTTAATTGGGGTGATTTTTATTTTATTTTTTTGTCCTTTTTGCTCTGGCTAGAATTCCAGGACTGTATTGAAAGAAGTGGCATGAACAGATTCTTGTCTTCCTTGATCTTGGGTAGAAAATTTCCTTAATCTACACTAATAAGAGAGTAAGATGCAAATTGACTGTAACTTCATGACACCTACCAGCCAACCAGGAGTGGATATGCAAATTAACCCACCAAGAGTGGCCACAGGTGGGATAGGATGCTTATGTCGTTGCCATGGTGACGATGCAGGCGTTCTGCAAACCCCTGTCCACTCAGGGCCTCTGGGCATTGTGGGAAGGTGGAACAGTGGCTCCAGCCCAGAGCTAAAAGCTGGCTCTGACCAGAGCAAAGGCAGCCTGCAGCTCAGGGAAGGAAGGCCCATTCTTGGATGAATCTTCCTGCAATCAGGTCTCTAGTTAAGTATAATGTTCACTGTGTGTTTTTATAGGTTTCATCTATCAGGTTAAAGAAGTTCTCTTATATTTCCAATTCATTAAGTTATCTTTATCACAAAAGAGTATTTGATATTGTAGTGTGTTTCCCCCCCCCCACCTGCATCTATTGAGATGATAATAAGTGTTTGTCCTTTATTCTATTGATATGGTATATGATATCAGTTGATTTTCAGATGTTGAACTGATCTTGTTTTCCTGAGATACATCCTGTGCTTGCCAGCCTTGATCCTGGCTTCTGATTGAGTAGCACTCCCCCTGGGGGTATGCACTGACCACCAGGGGGCAGCTCTTGTGTTGAGCATCTGCCCCCTGGAAGTCAGTGAGCATTATAGCAATCAGTTATTTTGCTGTTCAGTCGATTTGCATAGTAGCTTTTTATTATATAGGATTTATATTCATATTCATATTTATATTGGTCTGCAGTGTCCTTTTTTGTTAAATCCTTGTCTGGTTTTTATATCAAGGTAATAATACTGGCCCTATAGAATGAGCTGGGAAGTATCTCTCCTTCTATATGTTTCGAAATAATTTGTGAAGAGCTTACATTAATTCTTCTTTAAATGCTTGGAATAATTCACCATTGAAACTATCTGGGTTTTAGCTTTTCTTAATGGGAAGTTTTAAAAATTACCAATTCTATCTCTCTACTTATACATCTAACCAGATTTTCTATTTTTTAGAACTCTCTTTCAGTCGTTCTTGTCATCCTAAGAACTTGCTCATTTCATCTAAGTCATCCAATTTGTTGTGATACAGCTCAGTGTTACCCTATTCTCTGTTTTATTTTATGAGGGTCAGTAGTGATGTTCCCTCTTTCATTCATGTTTTAAATAATTCCAGTCATCTCTTTTTTTTCCTTTGTTACTTTAGCTAAAGGTTTGTCAGTTTTATTTATTTTTTCAAAGAACCAATTTTGGGTTATATTAATTTTTTCTTATTTTTCTATTCTCTATTCCATGAATTTCTATACTAATATTTATATTTGCTTTCTTTTATTCTTACCTTTCTCTTTTTCCAACTTGTGTTGCTTCTGCCTAGTATCAGCTCTTTATGAAACTTAAATTTAAGTCTACAGATTCAATCTGCCCCCGCACTTTGACCCTCTCCTATATCTTTGCAGGACCTTTTTGGTTTTGTTTGCTTCCTTCATTGCATCCGTATGTTTTGTCACAGGGTGAGAAGAAGATGGTGACCTATACAGCTATATTTATATTAGAAACTTGATATTTTTAATCTATATCCCCTATCACCAGCTCTCAAGTATGTAATGTCTCCTCTTACCCTTGAAAAATGAGGGATTGATTCTGCCAGAAGCAAGATTTATAAAGTAGATTTTAATTATTATTTTTTAAATATATTTTATTTTATTTTATTACAGAGAGGAAGGGAGAGAGATAGAGAGCTAGAAACGTCGATGAGAGAGAAACATCTACCAGCTGCCTCTTGCACATCCCCTACCGGGGATGTGCCCGCAACCAAGGTACATGCCCTTGACCGGAATCAAACCCGGGACCCTTCTGTCCGACGCTCTACCACTGAGCCAAACCGGTTTCGGCAGATTTTAATTATCTTTGATATGCTTTTCTCAATCACTACAGCTGGAAACCTTTTCTCTAAACTTACTTAATTTCCTATTGTCATTAATGCCTAAGGTCTTTAACTATAAGGTGTTGTTACCCTTTCAGAAAAGGGCTAAATATAACTTCCCTACAGCAAATCTCAGTATTGTCAAAAGCAATTTAATGAAGAAAGATAATCTTTTTAACAAATGTATAGGCAACCAAATAAATCTTGACCTAAATTTCACATCTTACAAAAACTTAACAAAAATAGATTAAAAACATAAATGTAAAAAATAACTAAAAACGAACTTTTAGAAAAAAATCAGCCTTATTAATACCACTAAAACTGATATCAATCCAGATAAAAATGTATAAATAAACTGGCATATTTATGCCATGCAATACTATAAAGTACTGCTATAAGCAATAACTTGGATGAATCTCCAGAGAATTATGCTGAGTGGAAAAAAAAGCTAATCCATAAGAGTTACATACTGTGTAATTCTATTTATGTAACATTCTTGAAATGACAAATTATAGAAATGGATAACATAGTATTTGTCAGGGCTTAGGGAGGGAATACGCATGAAAGGAAAGTGATAATGGCTGTTAAATGGCAACATGAGGAATCCTTGTGGTAAAAAAAAAAAATCTAAAAATCTTGACAGTGTCAATATCAATATCCTAGTGGTGATACTGTATTATAATTTTGCAAGATGTCACCATTGGGAGAAACTGAAAAATGTACATGAGCTCTCTCTATGATATCTGATAATACTGCAGATGAACCTAAAATTATCTCCAAAAAAAGTTTAATGAAAAAAGCAAAGCAATATGAAAACAAAATACACAGAATTTCAGTGACCAGTGGGAAAAAACATATAATATAATTAGACTCCCAGAAGGAGAGAACTAGAAAAAGAAAAGAAAAAGAAAAAAACCTTTGAAAGAAAATAACCAATTTTCCAAATTTGAAGAATATTCAACCCACATACTCTAGAGTTTCAATAAACCCAAGCAGAATAAAAACAGAGAAAATTGAACCATAATACTTCATGAACAAATGGGTGGAAATGAGTAATAAAAAGAAAATCTTAATAGAATCCAAAGGACAAAGAAAAGCTCATAGATAAAGGAGAAGAAAAGATAAAAATGACTGCCTGTGTCTTTTTGAAATTTATTTTACTAGTAAGTTCCATAGTAAAGCAATGAAGATTTTAAGTGGATAAATGATAGGGTCAAAAGTAAAAATTCCAAATCTCCTGAATTTTGATGTAATAATCTCTTTATTGAAGATTATAAAAATATGTGTATTTTATTAAGAAAGTGCTTCATTTCAAAACAGTCACCCTGAATGCACGAGGGATAAAATCTTTCAC